AAATCCAGAATAATGAAGAACTCAAGGAATGAAAACAACAAATAATAAATAGTCAGGAAAATAAATAAATGGGCCATATGGTTCTAAGCCATACCACTTCTTGGATATAGCCAAAAGAAAACAAAACAGTTCATGCTATAGAGGCACGTTCACTGTGACACTATTCAACACAAGCCAAGTTACGGAATCAGCCTAGGTGCTCATCAAACAATGAATGGATAAAGAAAATGTGCTGTTTGACATATACAATGGAGTGCTATTCAGCCATAAAGAAAAAATTATATCATTTCAGGAAAATGGACGAAACTGGAAAATCGTGTGAAGCAAAATAAACCAGATACAAGACAAATATCTCCTATGTGGAATCCAGATATTTTAAGGCATGAAAGTAGAAGAGACTATTAAATTTTCTTTAATATCACGCATAAGAATGAAAATATTGTCTACTAGAACCCTCTTAACATTACAACAAAAAATCTAGGTGTTTAGAAAAAAATAGTGTCTACATTTATGGTTGCTATTAGTATTTACAGATTGAGATGCTGTAAGAAGAGACTTAACAAGATCCTTGTCTCGATGCTGTAGGTGATGATGTCATTGAAAGTAACCTAGTTATAAAAAGAATAAGGAAGAAGCTATTAGAATGATATGTACAATTGTCACCTTTTTATATCAAAAGAAGAGAAAACTTTAAATCATATACTGTAGTATTTTACATAAGCTTAAGATAATTTCAAAAGATTATCTCCAAGGGATCTTATTCAAGAATGACTAACAATAGCAGTAGAGGCAGAAGGTGTGAGCGTGAAAAAGGGATTCACGTAGAGACATGTCATTGTTTCCCGTTTTCATATTTTTTGTATTTCAACCATGTGAAGTAAATCTTATTTCTAAAATTAAGTGACACATTTAGCTTGTGAGAAAAACATGATAGGTAATATGTATCTTTTCTTATCTAGCCTAGAAGTTCTAAAGAAACAGTGTATCCAGTACATAGCACACTTCAATGAAAATCAGAAGTGGCCAGTCCAACAACTTCCAATGGCCGTAGCTAGGTAGCATCGTACTTTCAGTCTTGAGTGAAAGCTGTATTTAAGGCAAAATAACCTCCATTCTTCCGATCGCCATCACTTCTTTGAAGTATTGATATACTAATGATTTTAAAATTTAGCCCACGATATTTAGCTGGGTCTCCAATTGCCTTAATACATGTATGATACTTTAAGAGTGTTATTGTGTCCCTGTCATTCTGTCTTGAGAAGCCTAGAAGGACCAGTGAATGCTAAACACCCAAAGGCAGTTTGTCGTTTGTTCTTTGCCTCTGGATACTGACAGACTCTGTACGTTGTGATGATCTTTTCTCCAAGACAATATGTGTGCTGTGTCCTCATTAGGGTAAACCAGTATTAGAAAAGAAAACGCGTAGATGGTGCATTAGAAGACTTCATGAACAAAGGTCTCCATTCTAACCAAACATGAGTCTTGGGAACAAAAGTTTTTACATTTTGTCCCTAAGAGAACCCACAAGTGTCCACAAACACTTGAGAAATGCTTTACCCCGGGCACTAACATGCCAAACAGATTACAGGATGGAAGTATGGTATGGTTTTTCAAAAGTCAGGATGGGGCTTCCGGAATGGCGTGTCCTAAGATTCTTCATCACTGAGATGTCTAGCATGTCTAGCAACGTGAGGAGAACTCCACCAAGCTGTTGTCATTCATGAGGTGTCTGGAGCTTCCTCTACTCTTTACCTACTCACCAAATGTCCAGTCATCAATGTTTGCCTTATATTACCCCATTGCTATGTTAAATTGCTAATCTCCCAAAAGATCATAAATGAAGCCCAAATATTTTCTCATTTTTGAAAAGAGAGGCATTAAAGACAAAAGGAGAGAAGTGTTTTGAATAGAAGAATGGCTGGTACTGATCAAGTTACCATGCATTGAGTTATGAAGAATGATAAAAAACATCGACAAGTGCAAACTAGCTTCTGTTGATTCCTTGTCCTTCAAAGTCATCTCAGTTAAATTCCCCCAAAACCTGCAAATCTCAGAATTTCCTTCTAATCGCTTCATTGTTTTGTTCTTTCTCCTTGGCTTGATTCAGGTGAAACTTGAGATTATTTTTCACGACCTTAAAATTTGATCAGTAGCCATCTAGCTTACAAAGACAGGCAGGTCCCTGTATATGATGCCAACATGTATTTTTACTTGGTTATGTTCTGTCATATTGGGAATAATTCTAGCTGGGAAAAGCATGGTCAAAAATAGCTAAGAATACTTACTATGTTCTTTTCTGATTGCAATTTCTTTTATTTGACTTCATAGGAAATTGTTTATAACCATGATCAAAGAATAACTTGGGTTTTTTAAATTTTATGGCGATCTAAAACTTAAGTCTTTAAAAAATAGGAATGATTACAACAAATAAAAGGAGATATTGGAAAGTAAGAAACAAGTTGTACACAGTGAAATGAGGGTTTTCAAAAGGCACAACCCTGTGGAAAGTAATGGGCTTCTAACGATGACCCATTGTTGTGACTGAGAAGTTGTCCTCAAAGACTGAAGTTGTGTACAGCTAGCATTGCAAAGGGAGAGCCCTGCTGACTAATTCCTCCAGTAGGGGCCTTAATTCCCCCTGCTCATCTCAGGGGCACATATCCCCAGACAGCAGAATCAGGGATGAAATCAAGTTGGTCTGGCGGAAACAGCTCAGAAGCGGTGTTAGCATTTCCTCATCAACACATGAACATTCCCTAAGACAGACCATATGAAAGGAAGAAAGAAAATCATTAATTTTTAAAATTTATATTTACAGTGCAGTACCTCTTCTGACTAACAAAGCAATGAACTAGAAATAAAAACCAGAAAAACTTTGAAACTATAAAGAACAGGAAATTAAAAAACAATTACTTTGAACAAGCCAATGATTGATGAAAGAAATGAGAAAAAAATGAATGAATTTCATGCAAAAATCTGAAAATGGATACACACATACTAAAAATCTATTGTATAGAGCAAAGCAGCATTAAGAAGGAAGTTTTAAACTCTTCAATGCCAGGAACAGCCAAACAACTATCACTGTATCCAAGGAACTAGAAAAACAACAAAAAAACAACCTCAAGTAGGAGAAGGACAGAAATAATAAGGATGAGAACAGAAATTAAAGATGATACTGAAAAAAATACAGAAGATCACCAAAACAAAGAGCTGGTTCTTTGATGGGGAGGGCATAAAGCCAGACAGAGACAAAGGAACAGAAAGGAGAGCCTAGAAGTAAAGCCATGCGTCCACAGCCAACTGATTTTCAACAGAGGCCTAAGAACATGCAATGGAGAAAGGCAGTCTTTTCAATAAATGGTCAGGGAAATTTAGATATCACTTGCAGAATATGAAACTAGACTTTAATTCTCACCATCAGGAAAGTCAACTCAATGGATTAAAACCTTAATGTAAGGCCTGAAACTCTGGAACTATTAGATGGAAACTCTTTAAGTCATTGGAATGGGCAAGATTTTTTTTTTTAACAAGACCCCAAAAGCATAGGAAACAAAAGCAAAAATAGACAAGTGGAATCTATAAATCAAATACCTGCACAGAAAAGGAAATGCTCTACAGAATGGGAGAAAATATTCGCAAACAAATCTGACAAGTGGTTGATATCCAGAATAAATTAGGAATTCCAAAAACCCAATAGCAAAACAACTAAAAATGGACAGTAGACCTAAATACACTTTTCCCAAAAGAAGACAAATAAATGACCAAAAAAATACATGGAAAATGCTCAAATCACTAGTCATCACCAAATCAAAACCACAATGAGCTATCACACCATCCAGTAAGGATAGCTATTATCAAAAATACAAGAAGCCAGGTGCCCATGGCTCACACCTGTGATCCTAGCTACTTGGGAGGTTGAGATCAGGAGGATTGTGGTTTGAGACCAGCCCAGGCAAACAGTTCATGAGATCCCCCTATCTTCAAAATAACCTGAGCAAAATGGACTGGAAGTATGGATCAAACAATAGAGTACCTGCTTTGTAAGCACGAAGCCCTGAGTTCAAACCCCAGTCCCATACACACACACACACACACCAAAAAAAATGGAACAAGAGCTGGTAAGGATGTGGAAAAGATGATCTTTGTACAGTGTTGGTGGGAATGTAAGTTAGTACAGCCACTATGGAAAACAGTATGGAGTTTCCTCAAAAAGTTAAAAATAGAACTGCCGTATGATCCAGCAATGCCACTTCTGAGTATACAGCCAAGGGAAATGGAGTCAGTATGTCAAAGCACTTCTGCACTCCCACGTTCACTGCAGCGCTATTAATAACAACCAAGAAATGGAAACAACTGTCCATCAGCCAATGAAGGGATAAAGGAAACAGGGTAGATGTTCACAATCGAAAACCATTCAGCCCTTAGAAATAATGAAATCCTGTCATTTGAGGTGACATGAATAGAACTGGAGGTCATTGTGCCAAGTGAAATATGACAGCCACAGAGAGACAGTACTGTGCAACCTCACTTATATATGGCTCTCAAAGGAGGTGATTTCCAGAGGCCAGGGAGAGAAGGAGCAGGGGGAGGAGATGGGGAAAGGTTGATCAATGGGTGCTCTAGGAGCAAGTCGTTCAGGTGTGCTCTCGCACAGGTAACAATGATGTGCTGTGCATGTCGAAAACTGTACGAAAGGATTTTCAAAGTTTTCCCCATAAAGAAGAGATAAGCATTTAAAAAGAGGGATGTGTTTAACCTGGTTTAAACATTACATAATATACACATGTATTGAAACATCATACATGTTTCAATTATACATATGTAATATGTAATTATACATATGCATAATTTTTATGTTTTAGGTATCAGTTAAAAATATAGAGGGAGCTGGAGGTGT